TCAAAGTTTCAATATGTACTACATAACCTCTTCTTTTAACAACACTAAGAGGAGATCAGAGGGTAAACACATAGCATATCAGTAATGTGTTCTGAGCCTAAAGCCAGAGTTTTCAAGCTTACGAGTGTGGCTAACTTTAGTTGACTATAGGAATTTATGTTAAACACCTTACACGGTACGGACCAAACCAGAAATGTTGCCGTGCCGGCGTATTTACACTATAAAAACCAGTCTGTTTTCAAAACTGTGCTGCCTGCAGGCCCAAGAGTCACAGGAAAAGGTTTCCAGCCTTTTGCCCTCATGACATTTCTGCTAGCTCTCTAACTCTTTCTGTCTCACAAACTGCAGACCCCATCTTTAATTCTGAAATACTCAGCATCAGTAATGCCCTTTTTTACACCTCATTAGGTCAGTAACTAACCTCATTAGCTGTCAGATATTGCAGACGTGTTTGATTTTTTTTTTAAATCACATCACTCTCTATATGTACATGCAGCATGTATTTATATGCATGCATACATTTTGTTATATTTATTACTTTCTTTGGTATCAACCAGGATTGAGTACTAACTTTGATGTACTTTGATCACACCTGCTTATTTTGAATTTGATCTCTGCAGCATGAAGGAACGCCTTTATTGTCATTGCACAAACTTCTTTGTTTCAGCCTCTGCTATATTGCTGTTTTGAGGGGGGCGTAAAGTTTAGTTGTCTGGGTATTCTGCCAGATAATGCTATTAATGATACATTAACACCTTGTATCAACAGTGATTAATGCTCGTCAGGGACATGGAAGTACCTTCTTTCCACGACACCATATGTTTAGCCACCCCCTTTGGTGTCAGCATGGAGAATGTTCTAGCAACTCCAGCACTGTGTGAGCAGAGCTAACGTTAACCACCTCTGAACATAAAACCATTACACAAACAGAACAGCTGATGCGGGCTGATAAAGGAGATCTGTCTGTCGTGTTTTAAACTGCGCAAATCAGTGAAGTTTATGAGGAGTCACCGCAGACACAGTGACTCAAGATCTCTGGCTAATTTCTAGCTTGGCGTGCTAGCATACCAGTTAGGACAACTACAAATCAGCACACATCTACGGTTTATTTGGCTCTTGAGGGTACACGCTACGTTTTAAAATGGGTTTCCTGGAACTGCTATGGCAAATCTCGCAGTCTAACGCTATTACTATAATCGGTACTGAATTAGGTGGTTATGCTGTATTGGTGAAACCCTGAAAACTTAAGACTACAACTGACTCGTCGGACACGAATTTATCTCCTTTGAAGTTAACAAGCAGCTGGTTTATCTTCAGACTGAGCATGACTCGAAATGGAAAGAATGTGTCAACAAAAAGACGAAGCTGATGCTAAAATGCTTGTATTTAGTCAACCCGTGTTACTTTCTGTATGCAACACAGGCCGGATTTGACAGATGATTTCGAGAGCTAAAGATATGTCTTTAAGTTTTCCTCTATTACACCTGAGGGTCGCTCTAGATTCTAGAAGAAAGACCACGATGTACTGCAAGAGATTTGAAAGGAGCGTGACGTGTTCGTCAAACCATAGCGGCACGATGCTAACGGGTGGCTAGCTGATCATATTCCTTTGAGTACATAGGCGCTGCTTTATAAATAAACCTTCCACGCTGCCAAAGCGAGGCTGACAATACAGCTAAGCGTTTCTCCTACCTGTCGTCTCCGAGTTTCAGATGCGAATCAGTCCTAAAAAAGAGAGTTTACGTTGCTTAGCTTCTTTGAGGAACACTCACTCAGTTCGTTCATAAGCTTGTCGCAGAATGATGTCATCATGCGAGGATGCAGTTGAGGGGTCGTAATATTTTTAGCGACCTTACTCACTGCCACTGCATTATTATTATTTTTTTAATTAATTATTTATATTAAATTGAACAAGTCTGGCAGAACACACAACTGTGAAATAATAGAAAAAAAATAATAATGAAAAAACAATACACTGAGGGTTTTAACACAAAACACAACTTGTATGTACTCTTTGTCCTGGGCCATTCTGAAGGAAGCTTAAATTTCCGTCGTTCTTACGCATCTTTACGGACACTAAAATTTGTACCTGACAGGGGCGCCTCCAGAATTTTTTCATAGGGGTGGCCATATGGGGACCACTAAAAATATCAGAGTGGCACGCAAAAAATAGAATTTCTCCTTTTATTATGCTGTTATCAAATATAGGTCACTTGACAAAAAAAAAAAAAAAAATCCCCCCAAAAGAGAGAAAGTAAAGAATTTTATCCAGTAGACTCGCTCATTTTTCAAGAAGTGATGCCTCCAACTGGTGAGGCATCCTTTTTCTTTGTTTCATTCTTCTTTATTATTATTATTGATATAAAGCTGGCCATTTTCACATGACAGTCACTTTCAAACTTTTTTAGAACTGCATTTTTTTTTAAAGGAATAGAAATGGAGGTACTCCAAATATGCAAGAACAAAATGTCCCTCAAAGTGAGAAGAGTCAATTTTAAATCAGGTAACTATTTCATTTGTTTTTATTTTTGATATATGGAAAACTGACATGCATAAAGGAATAATGCCACATTTTTACCAGGAAAGGTTAGTTTTCTTGAAAAACATCAGGTAAGAGTATTAAATTCCCTTCAAACCTTTGTCATGGATCATATATACAGAAACCCATGTTTATTATTATGTTATCATGTTTATTATGCTTTTTATTACACTTAAATAGTTGTTATGTGTGCTTTGGGCTTTATTCTTTTTACAATAGACTTTTGTCACTCCTCTCTGAAGTATTTTGAATAGCTCTAAACTGCACAAAAGTGTTGTGTAGCTGTGTAAAGCCTAGCTGATAATCCTGTATATAGCTTCTTCACTTTTTACTCTGTCTTTAATAAATGAAAATATTTATAAAAAGAACTTCTCAACACCTCCTTGCGTGCTCCTCCTCCTCATTATAGCAGATTGTGGTTGTCAGAGGATTAAACTTGGCCCCGGACTCACCGCAGGCTGTTGTCCTCCGACTTCTCTGCTGTCTGAGGACCAGATTGAGGACAATGGGCCTGCTGAATATTATCAGCTCTATCAAAGACCGAGCTGAAAAGTTTCTAAATGAGAAAAATGTGGTGACGGATATTCTGGGGAAAATGGAGGAGAAAACTGGGATCAAGAAGAAGGTCATTGCTCTTGGTACGTGTGATTTAATCTTCTAGAATTATTTTTTTACCAACTTGCTGCTTTGTGTAGTAGCACATGGCTACTTCTGGATCATTCTGCTCTCGTTCTAGATGTAGTTGATTTGTATAAAGCTTGTTGCAGGCCAGTGGAAACCTGAAGAGGATTCAGTTAATCCTCCTGTGATCAGCTACCGTCCACAACAGGAAGCTGGGAATGTTCAGGAGGTTTTCTGCTTCGTTTATTCTGCAGTTAATCCTCTGCACTGATAAATATTTTGTCATACTGAACTCAGATAAACTGGCTCTGCGGCCCTCGGGGGTTTTAGCATCGTTAAGCTCCTGCTTTTGTGGCAGTGCCTGCTTCACTGTGTCCAGTTCTTTGATAGGACATGTATCACCCTGAGCTGAAAGCTGAAAGTCTTCTGTTTAGTACTTTCTCTGACTAAGCAGTGATGGGCAGAAGTCTCCTTATATCTTATGTTTTAGTTCCTGGATCAACTATGTTAGCAGCTTTAAAGGACTGGTTTTACCCCAGTTTGATGCTGGACAAGCCATAAAATATCTGTGTAGGCTTCATACCAGGAGTCCTTCACTCTGAATGGGTAAATATCTACAAACACTAATGTGGTTCAGTGAAACCTGCGGGAGTCTCAAAGCTTTCTGCAGCTGTAACCTTGAATAACTCTCTCTCTCTTGGGGAAGACAAGATAACTCTTTATTGTTATTGCACAGTCATACGTGGCTCAATAGTACAATGAAATTGGAAAAACTGAAACTGGGACTAGTATCTTGTGTGGAACTAAAGCTGTATTTTAACACCTTTAATTAAATTCTCTGTCACAGTTTGGTTTAGACAAAAAACCCAAACAAATTCTGATAGGACACCAGATGTTTGAGGTACCATGATAACTGGCTAATGATCACAGCCAGTCATTGTGTATAATGATACATTATTTCATAAGCATAAAGGGCACTTGAAACAATGACAGGTGATATAAGAGAATTATAACTGCTTAGAAACAATCAAAAGAATAATCGTACCCACACTGGCAGCTCATCCAGTTTCACACGTTTGCAGCAACAAATGGAGAATCTTTTAAAAGAAACTCTGTTACAGCAAAATACACAAGACTTCATTTGCAACGTCAGATTTTATAGATTTTAAAATGTTTTCACCAATTTAGCAAAACAAAGCTAAACAACAAAAAACTCCAAAAAAACCAAATAATCCCCCAAAAACAAATCCTAACCTTCTCCCCATCGACAGATTTTTGGTAATCTTTTGGGTATCAAGAGGGTAACAGAAGCTGAGGTTGTTAACAGGATTCTTTCTTTTGACTTTATTATACATCTTTACTGTCAGTTGTTTCCTAGACCATGTGGTCCCTAACATGGTCACAACATGTTAGCCATTTAGAGGGAGGCCTATTAATTATTTTTAGTCCTGTGTGGACATCACAAACTAATACAGATCCAAATATCCTTCTTGATCCTGGGACCCAATTCCTTTGGTGGAAGGTTGAAACTTCCGGCCTTGGAAGAGTTACACAGACTCTCAGACTGTTCTTCATATTTAATTATTTTGGGATTTATTGTCTTGTTGGGTTTCTGGTTTCAGGAATTTTAATTAGTTTGCACCATGTTACTTCATCTTCATTTCTAAAGGGCAAATCATCCAAATTAGCAAACTAAAAATGGGCTGACTGGAGCTCAGGTGGTAGAGCAGGTCACCTACTAACTGGAAGGTGTTTCAATCCCAGTCTGCTCCAGTCTGCATGCCAAATATCCTTGGGCAAGATATTAACCCCGTGTTGCTCTCCGATGCATGGATCGGAGTATGAATGTGTGTGAATGTTAGACAGTAAGCGCTTAGAAACAGCTATGAACAAAGTGCTTGTGTGAATGTGTGAATGTATAAGTTGTGTAAAGCACTCTGAGTGCTCAAATAGAGTAGAAAAGTGCTATACAGTATAAGAACCAGTCCATTCACCATAAAAATGGCTTTTCCCTCCCAAACCGCTGCTGATTGATATATTTCCATCCAGCTTTGACAAAGAAAACCTCTGTGGCTTCAGGAGTTCATTGTTTGGCTCGAAATAAAAAACGTTTCTGCCATAAAATCTTAAAGGCAAAACCTCAGTGTGTCCATACTTGATTTATCTACGGTCAGTTCAGTAAAGGTTATTCAAACATCACAGCAGTGTGTTCAGTGTTAACAGAAAATGGGAAGAGAACAACCACGTTGCTCTACTTCTGCCTTTCCTGCTGAATTTCTGAAGCTGTTGCCCATTATATTGTTTTATAAATATGTCGACATTTTTACAAGAAAGTTTTGTTGTTTTCTAAAAATAGATACAGATCAAACAGCATATTTTGTTGGTAGTGTTAAAAGGGCTCTCAGGTCCGTGTGAACACAGTGATCCAGTGAGCAGGGAACAGCAGTGTATTGAGAGCACGTTGATGCTGGTGCAGTGGATTTGGAGCACATTAAGCAGGACATGATGTCAGCGTGGTGCCTGGTGCCCGCTGTCTCCCGCTCTGAGCCTTGACGTTAAAGCTGATTATCCACAGAGACAGGCAGCAGAGCAGCGCCGCCTCCATGTGTGAACAGCAACATAAGCTGATCAGAGGTAGGACACTTTTTTACAGTACTTCCTGTCTGTCTGGCTGTCAGCCAATCAGTGAAATTTTGCTTGTTGTTCAGATTTGTTTTGATATTTGGCTGAATCGCCCACACTGTTGGCCTGTGAGCTCTGCACTCTGTGCAGAGAATATACCTTGTTATTCCTGTCTTACATGGATAACGAAACAGGTTTTACTTCCTGTTCATGATGGACATCACCTTTCTTCATTGTAAGTTATGGAAGGCTATGAAATATATGGAAATGTACATTTAGGTGGAACCACAGATCGCAATGCTGCCTCTTAGCAAGAAGAAGTCCTGAGTTTGAATCCAGTCTGGTGCCTTTCTGTGGGGAGCATGTTTCACCTGTGTTTACACGAGTTCTCTCTGGACACTCCAGCTTCCTCTCATAGTCCAAACACATGTTCATTGGATATGAAATCAAATCTTGTAATGCTACGGCCCTGTTCTTTTGCCCACGTCTACATTGCTGGTCAGTCTTTTGCAGGAAACACTTTCTTCTGCATGATTTTGGTTCCAAATTGGTCGAGTCTGTGCTAAACTGGCTGTTTCTGCAACGCAGTCTAATGAAATAGACTATATTAATAAATAGCAGCAGTACATAGAAAACAAAACATCTGTGTCTTCATCCAGGTGCCGTCTCGCTGACCGGACTCTACCTGGTGTACGGATATGGTGCCTCCCTCCTCTGCAACCTGATTGGTTTTGTTTATCCAGCTTATTATTCGTAAGTTTTTATTTTTAATTTTTTCTTTTTTCTTTTCCTCGTTGTGGTAGGAAGTCATTGTCATACTCAGTGGATCCATGTGGCAGTCTCAGTATAACAACTGTGCCTACAATACACTGAGTTTTCTTGGTATTATTATATTCTTTTTGTGACATTTTTGGCATATAACGATCTTTTCCACAGTATATATTTAATGATATTTGGACATTTTATGCATTTATATAAAGACATTTTACTACATTTGGAGACATTTCAAAAAATAATTTTATTAGAGATGTTCAGACATTAATGTCATTAAGCTTAAGGATGTTGTCTGGTGTGTATTCTGGTTTTGCCCTTGAAGAAGCACAACTGATAAAGATGACTTTGTCTGGATAATTTTGACATCATTGAAATTGTGACTGATTTCACTGTTAAAGTTTATGATATTTATATCTGTAATACGGTTCAGTGACTAAAGCAAATAGTCGTGTTACTGGTGCAGAGGCACAGAAATCTTTATCATATTTGAAGGATCAACATGTTTCTCAGCTCTTTTACAATACTCCAACTTTGTGCAGAGTCAAAGCCATCGAAAGCCCGTGCAAAGAAGATGACACAAAATGGTTGACCTACTGGGTGGTGTACGGTGTCTTCAGTCTGGGCGAGTTCTTCTCTGATATTTTCCTCTACTGGTTCCCATTTTACTACGCTTTTAAGGTGAGATGACATGTAGCAAGCAATGATACATGCTAGACCCCTTTTTGGAGCATACCCTAAAGAACAAAATGCTTCTTTTAGGACGAAATATAGAAACAATATTGCATTTATATCCACTACTACCTTTTTTGAAGGGCTATGACCGTCATACTAGAATTGAGATCAGGTAAAAGGTTTCAGTGACTCCAGTAATCTCCTTCTTATGTGGTTCCAGTGTCTCTTCTTACTATGGTGCATGGCACCAATGTCCTGGAATGGCTCACAGATTATCTACAACAAAGTGGTTCGGCCTGTCTTCCTTCGCCATGAGGCCACAGTGGACAACATGGTCAGCGACCTCGGTGGGAAGGCCATGAGTGCTGCCGAGAACCTCACCAGAGAAGGTAAAACTGGCACAGGACCACCGCTAGGGTCTTTTACAGAAGATTTAAATATGTACATACTTCCTCTCTCGCTCTTCTCCCTCCTTAGTCCTGACCACTCTGGTGAAGAATAAAGCCGTGATCATACCATCGCCACCTGTTGCTCAGTCTGAAGCTAAAAGTTTACCAAGTACATCAGGAGAAACATCCACAGCTAAAGTTGGTCCATCAGAGATGAACGAAGAAAGAAGAGTATGTAAAATACACGTTTTCACCCTTTACTCAGTCTGTTCACCTTGAATTATATCAGTGAAAGCAGCTCAGGAAACCTGCAGTCTGCTGGTTTATGTCCTCTCTACAAGCTGCTGAGTGATGCGTTCTCACGCAGAAAGCCTTGTAGCATCTCTCTTTACCGTCAGTAACCCAGCTGGGAAAACTGACCAGCAGTCCCTTCAATATAGAATCCCACTAACACTGTTTATGTAGCGGATCAGTACTTGGAGTTCAAGCATTGTTTAGATTTGTCCACATAACTTACAGAAATCCACGGTTATTAATGACACCCGTGGCTGTTAAATGGACTCCAGTCATGATTTTGTTGCTTGTGTTTGGCTAAAGTGGACTCACAGTTGATGCTGGAACAGACCTGTCCTTCATCTACATCAAGTGTTTATGTGTTCATATAGGAGGTGAGGAAAAAACTCTGACCTGTTGCTAATACAGCTATCTTGTTACCTGTTCCAGCCTTTCCTGGGTTAACCAGTTTGGTAAGTCAGCTGGTTAAGTGTTAAAAAAGTAGCACAGTGTTGTACAGACAGTGAATGTGGTGTGAAGCATGTAGACCAGCAGTGCTTTTAATGGTCTGAAGCTAAAACAGACAGGATACTTTATCCTAGGTGTGAAGACCTGAACTGACCTTCTAATATTCCCTCCTCAACTTTACCGGCAGCTCTTAGTGGTCCAGAAGAAACAGAAGCACTAGAAAATGATCTGCTTAGTAGTTTTCAACATTGGGTCAGAGTAAAGATCAGGACCAGAGGGTGAACTAAAGGCCCAGTATGAGATAAATATGTTTAGAAAATCTAAATGATTATTATTTATTTATTTATTTTTATCTGAAAGTGAGTAAGTCCAGAATTACAGTCTTACTGCAGCTCTCCTCCCACACTACCTACACCAAAGCAGAACATGTGGGTTGGATGTGTATCAACATACCATGGTGGCAGAAACTTTCCGCACACTCATCATTGGCATCGTCTGCATGACTCTCATGGTATTTTGGGCTTTTCAAGATTTCTTTGAATTGTTCCTCTTCCCACGGTGGAATAACTGTACACCTTGCATGTTTAAAAAAAACAAAACAAGAACTGGATGCACTTTGAACTGATTTTGGATTTTCTCTAGTCCACACAGTCACATACCCCCACTAATGTTTGGTTAAATGTCCATTATTGCACCTGGACCAGACACTTCTGGTATCCATCAGCAAGCTTTGAGCAGATATTTAACCACTCTTCTTGGCAGAATTGTTAGAGTTTATTTGTGTTTCAGTTGTGTTCATGTTTGTATTCTTCTGACCACCTGTGGATTAGTGAAAAACATTAAAACGTCCCAAACCAAGTACCCATGACATTCATGCCCATGATGAGTGTGCGTAAACTTCTGACCACAACTGTACATCCAGAGATTAATTTAAGTATTCAAATTAATCCATGAGGTTGTTTTAGGA